GAGGGAGGGAGTGCTCTGGGGAAGAAAGGGTGCTTCGTACATGTAAGAAGCCACAAACCAAATCACTCCCACAGGCCGAGATGGGGGCATTATCTTGCTTTGAAAACCCCCAGATTTTATTTTGCTAAAGCTTGCAATTTCTTGTGTGTGTGAATGGTACTTAAAATCTGTTTGTAATGGAACTTGATTGTATCCAGCTGTCACCAACTGTTCCCATGCTACCCAAAAGATAGCTGGCGACACGCCACACAGTTCAGACTTTCAATTCAAATAGATAGGCTGATGCTCTAGTTCCCGCCAGATTTTGCCCAAGTGTTTTCACTTGGGACAAAAACAAAGGGGGAGCGGCACTCAAAGAAAGTTAACGTCGAGGAGAACTGATGGAGGAGAATTTCTGAGCCACCAGCATTGATGGAGGGTTGGGCTGGCCATTTCTGAGCAGAGTCCAAATGATGGTCACAGATCACACTTCCTCGTGGCTTTTCCAGCCCACTCATTCAACAAAGATTTCCTGGGCCCTGCCAACAAGAAGTACCTACCTGCAGCCAGGTAAGACACAAAACAGGAGAGTAATACATGTCAGAGAGGAGAAAAAAGTGCATTAAACACAGATCACTTATACTAACTGTAAGAGCAAAAAACCACATTAAGGTGCATTCTAACAATCTGGCCCTCAGCCCAGGATGAGGAAGGTTGATATAGTCGTTTGACCACACAGCAGCGAGAAAACCCCCGGGTTAGAATTAAGCCACCTGAATCCCCTGTGCCCCTCTCTTGGCAAGCGTTTGCCATGCTCTTCACTTCTGTATTTTAAAATCTGGCCCCACTAAGGTGTGATGCCACCTAAATTCCTCAAACCTGCTTAAGGGACAGCAGTTCTGTGACTGCATTTCTCCCACAACATGCAATGGATATTTGGCAGCCAAGTCCTACCACTTCAGGAGTAAGACCAGTGAAGGCATGATGGCAGTTACGGTTACTTCGACTTAACCTCTCCATCTTACGGAGGACACCATGGAGAGGGGACGTAGCTGGCCCAACTCCTGCTGCTGACACGTGGTGGCCGCCATTATTACACGGGTCTCGAGTCCCACTCTGGTCTCCTCCTTTCCATAGTGAGTCAGGATTCAAACCTGCCTCCAACCTACCTTAACCCTTTTAAAGCAGAAACACTAGCCACTAGGCTAAGCAAAGACCATCAGAGAAAGCACACTCCAACCTTGGGCACCTGGCGGAGGTCCCTTTCCCTTACCGAGTGCTTTCCAAGGATCGCAGAGCTGCTGGCCTTCCGGAGGCAGTGGAAAGCTGCAGGTAGGGTCTAGATCACCAAAGACAGGAGCCTGATATCTGACAAGTAGGGGAAACCTTGCTGGGCAGTGAATCGACTAGGATTTCTTGTCTCAAAGGGCTGTCCAGGAAACCCTGGATAGGGAGCCAGGAGAGTGAAGCAGGAAGCAAATCCTGGAGGTTGAACTGGTTAGGAAACTACTGGAGTCCAGGAGAAAAATGGTGGCGGCTCAAACTGGGAGCCAAGCAGTGGGGACAGGAAAGAGAGAAGTAATTTCAAGATAGCCAGGTAGAAAGATGGGAGGGAGCTGCTGAGGATGGTGGCCACGTTTCCAGCTTTGGCAGTGCGGGAAATAGTGGCCTTTGGGCATGGGAGGGACACAGGAGGGGGACACAGATGAGAGGAGGGCAGACAAAATGATGGATTCTGTTAGGCTGTGAACTTGCCAGGACATCCGGGGGAAGACGTTCAGTGGGATATATTGATTAGAGTTGACTGATTCTGGCTGCACATTACACAGCTTGGACTCACCAGATGCAACAGATTTAACATTTAAGGGACAGAAAAAGAAGAGTGCGTCAGGGGAGGCGCGGGCAGGGTTAAGTCCTGAAAAGCAGTCATTGCAAATGCCCGTGAGGTTTGGGAACTGGATCCCTGGGTGGAAGGATGAGGGCAGAAGGCAGACTCTGAGAACTGAAGTTTAGTAGAGAGAGAGGGTGGACAGGAGGGGACAGGGACACCAGGGGCTTTTTTAGGATGGCAGACACTTGAACACATTCATGAGAAGGCGGCAGCAAGACACAGGAGGTGGCGGGATATTTACTGGAGCAAGGTCCCCCAAGCGGCAGAAGAGGTTGTACCAGCCAAGTGAGGGGCAAGGGGTGCGTGCCTCTTCCAGCAGCACCCAGTTTAGGTCCATGGAGGGCCGGGGGTCACCATCTTCCACCTATACATCTGACTTCCTAAACGCCCACTCCAGATGAGAACCACTGAATTAGAACAGGGGGTCTCCAAGTACGGTCCCACCTGGCAGCAGGGTCAGCTTCCCCTGGGAACTGTTGGAAATGCAAATTCTCAGGCCCCACCCAGGCCTCCTGAATCAGAACAGCAGGGGATGGGGCCCAACAGCCTGTTTTAAAAGCAGTGCCCCCTACTCCCCCCACCCCCACCCCCGAGATTCGGATGCTTGCTGATTTAAGACTCAGGACCAGAACAGCAGGCTGCCAGAATCCTCTGGAAAGGCTTTAAATACCAGTGCCTAAGATTCTGATTTTGTTCAGTCTTGTAGTGGTATTAGCCTCACTGGCCACGAGCAAGGGGCAGCCGGAGAGCAGACATTTGGAATAATCACCGAAGGGGCTGGGCAGGCAAATCTCAGAGGGCGGACAGAGCCTAATGCAGGCGGCAGCCCCCGTGGCAGTGACGTCCTTCTCTGACAGTGCTAGCTGGTCCTGATGCAGAGTGCAGACAGAAGGCGCAGGAGGGGCCAGCCAGGTGGGCTCTGGGGGAAATGCACCCACAGGGCCCCCAGGCCTAGGCCTGGGCCAAAGGGAAGAGCCAGTGTGGGGCTCGAAAGCCAAGACCACCACCACACCTGGGCACCATCTGCTCCACTCTCACGGCCGCCTGGGGAGAGGGTTACCAGCTCCTCGCTTACCCAGGTCCTGACAACAGTGAGGCTCCACACTGCCGAGACTCAGGGCAGGGATGGGCATGCCGGCCCTCCGCACTGCACTGCACCACTGGGCCTTCCCTGGGCTGAAGGTCACGCTCACTGCTAGGGACCCCTTTCGGGCCAGAGCTTCCCCATGGAGGCCCACCTGGCTCCCTGCTATCCAGACACCTGGACTTTTCTTAATCAGAGGACTCAGAGCTCACCATCACCTTCTCACACCTTTAAGTCCCTGTTCTGAGAACACGCAAACATGTCTAGCTTGGCTGAATCACTGCCATGCAATCTGCCACTCGCCTTCCTGTGTGGTTACTACCTGGCCCTACGACCCGACGTCTACCCAAGCCAGAAATCACCGTCCCTGCCCTGAACTTCCCTTCTGTTCTCCTTCCTCTTGCTTCCCTCCCCAACAGCTGGGCGACCCGACCTCTCAGCTTCTCCCACTACTGCCAGTGGCCCAGCCTGACCACTTCTTGGCTGGCCTGCTGACTGGCCACCCTCATCTGTCTCCTCCCCCCACCCCCACCTCCGAGGCCTTTGTGCACACTGCTACGAGCCCCAGGTGTCCGAAAAGCAAATCATGTCTGTAGACACCTGAATGACATGACGTGGGAACTCACTGCATCAAGACATACAAAGGCTGGCATGACGGGTTTATGCTGAAATCCATCCAAACACATGCTCTCATTTTGCAGACTGATGGCCCTGCCTGCCTGGCACCCACTCGACCTTTAACACTACTCAGAGCATCACCTTGTCCCCAAGGCCACATCATGCAGAGCCAGTCACGCCAGGACGGTCCCCACCTGCACTGTCCGTCCTGCCCTGGAGCCCACAGGCCACCTGTGAGGAACTGGGTCTTCCTCACTGCCGCCTGTGCCCCGTACCATCAGGGTTCAGAAACGTTTGGAGAAGGCACTCACCTGCCTGCTGTGCCCCAGGACTAAAGTGGGCCCCCAACCCCCCCAGCCTCAGACCCCCATCCCAACCACTGTGCAGCCTGTGATTCAGCCTTTGGGTATGAGTTTGGCAGTGGACAGGCCTTGGAGCTGTAACCCTTGCTCTGAACTCCCCCACCCGCTGCCTCACCTGCTGTCCTCATTTGGAGCTGTCTGGCCAAACCCTCTCCCAGTGACCAGGACAAAGAATCGCTGTGTTGTTTGAGGAAACAATTCACACATCTGAGGAGTCACTGTATGGATTCGGGGTACAGGACCGCCTGGCAGTGCTCAGAACAGAGCCTGCGTGCTGGACGCCTGCCTGGCCAGGGACGCTGTTGTCTGCTTCCCACTCCCAGGGCTGCTCTTGCCAAATGTGACCTCTGGTCACAGGCGACTGCAGGGACCTGCTCAGCAGTCAGCCTGGCCTGACAAGCCCAGTGATTTCCAAGCGAGCCCAAATTAAGTTCTATCAACAACAAATTCCAGTGTGTCCACACAAAAAATCAAGTCCTCACCACGTCCCTCCGTGCGTGGCTGGAGGAGCAGCTGGACTCGCACTCAGGCCAGGTGGGGCAGAGCAGCCTCCGTCGTGCGGAGCCAAGCCGGGGGGACCCGAAGCCAGAGGAGATGGTGTCCCTCTTGCCGACCACTGGGAAACTCAGTTCAGTAAGACCTGTTATATCTCCCTCATCTTTCCCTATAGAAACCCAAACATTATTCAGTAAAAATATTAAAAAAGCTCAAAACAAACCTCAGTGGAATGATATTGTTTCCAAGTTTCCTTAATACAGTACTCATGAGCCATCACCACACAGCTTAGCAGGCCATTTCAAAGGAATCCTTCTCTTCTTAAATTTAATACGTGTATTTCTTAATACATGCAAATAAATCTCTATTTCCCTTTGTTTATTCTTAACAAAGAACTGCTCTAAACCGTCCCACCAGTCAGCCAAAGGCACCCATTCCCTGCTTACTGATGGGTGACCTGAGAGTGTACCCAGGAAAACCCTCCAATTGAACTGGGGATCACAGATTGGGGGGTTGGGACATACCTTTTAAAAATCAAAGTTAAAAAAAAAAAAAAACACATAGGCAGGACTCGTAAAGACTGATTATTTTATTGCACCAAGGTCTTGGCAACAGTTGGGAGCACAGGGACTAGCAGACGGAGCGCCCCGGAGGAGCAGGTGAGTGACAGGGCACTGGACCATCGGGAGAAGTGGCCCACCCCATCACCCACTCTACACGCAAAGTTAAATTAAACCCATGTTCTAAGCCAACCAAGTGACCACCATTATAAAAGCTTTAGTTATTTATATATATTTATATATTTACATGTCACCTCGAATTTCCTAGGCCTATCACTTCCCTTCCCAGTTTGGTGACGATTTTTGCAGGAGGGAAGGACTCGCCTCTACCTAGCAGTGGTCAATGCTACGGAAAGTCAGGCCAGTGCTTGGCACCGCCCCAGAGATAACGGATACGTTTTCCTCAGGAAATGATCTTTATAATTACATGGTGGAGAAAGGAGGAGACTGAACGGGGAAGAAGAAAGAGAAAGGATGTAAGTTCTGTGCTAGAAGGCAACTGGGTTTTTCTTTTTCAACTGCAGAACATACAGAAAAATATGCCTGGGGAAGTAGCTCAGACAGGAATGAAAGTCACACCCCAGGAGGGAGAGCCCCTGCCCACGAAGGCTCCTGCCTTCCTGTCAAGACGCCAAAGCCACCAGGCACTGGGCCAGGCTCCTCGTCTTCGAACGAGGTGTGGCTGACACGCAGACACCGTCGTCCTCCGGAGAGCGAGCGCAAGGCCCCCGGACCGGCGTGTGCGAAGCCCTGCTCGTGTTCTGCCTGAACCAGAAGCGGCCCCAGCTCGGCCCACTGCTCTCCTCCCCGCCTCTTGAAAAGAGAAATATAAGAACGGCAGAAAAATGGAAGAGAACTACCCTCATGCAGAAATGAGCACATCTCCCCATATGCGACCTTTTTTGATACCACCAGGATCATCACCCCAGGCCCCAAGCAAGGAGGAAGGTCCAGCAGCAAAGCCCAGTTGGGGGCGGCAGGGGGCGCCGCGCCACGCAGGCACCGGAAGGCCTCAGACGGGCGGGGTGCGAGCAGCAGAGCCACTGCAGACAGGCCATCTCCGCAGGGGACACTTCCGCGAGGAAAGGCAGTGGAGAGTCCAGGACACTGAGGAGCGATTCTCAGATATACTTCTGCACCTTCTACTACTGGGCACTTGTCTTTTTCTGGAAATTATCACCTTAACTGAGGGCTTCCATATTTATTAAAGTACATGATTGCAGACACAGCTTGAGCAAGATAAAGCCATCTCCTTGAGTTACACAATCATCTAGATTCAAAAGCACTCACAAAATTGAGCAAAGAAAACCAGTATTTGCATATCAGAGAAGGGAACGTATTGCTAATGGAAGCTACAGGCCTGGTTAAAAATAAATGTTTTATGTTAAGTAGTAAAATAAAAGGAGGGTTCGACCCCGAGACCACCACCCATAAGGGAAGGTATGAGCCACCTTGGAATAAATAGCAGCCTGCAAAGCAGATGTGTCTGCACATCATCTCAAACCCCCACAACCCCACCCCAAAATAGCCTTTTGCTCCCCACAGATCATCTAGAGTTTCTAGCAAGGGAGAGATAAGCTGGCAGGGCTGCTCCCCAGTTCCAGAAAAGGGAGAGGCAGCAGTGGGGGCCGGCCTTGGGCTCACTTTCTGGGGGTGGGTAGGTAAGGCATACAGACAGAGCCCCCGCCCCAGGAGGCAGGGAGGGCAGAGTGCCGGCGAGACAGCAGGGCCAGTGGCCAGGAGCAGCTGCTGGGCGGCTCGGCGATGAAAGCAGCCACCGCACACTGTCGCCTGCGGGCGCTTGAGGACACGAGGGGCGTGGCCACCGTCCTCCCCACGCTCTCCCGCAGCCCCCGGACCGGACTCCTCTGTGCAGGTTCTCAGCTGGTGTCCTGTCGCCCCTTCTGCAGGCCACTGTGTGGTCTGTCGTGGCACGCATCGTATCACCAGAGGTCCTGATCCACAGAAGCCCAGGGCCTCTGTGGGCTGTCCTCTCACGGGAGGCTCACAGTGCAGGGCCTGGAGCTGACAGGGCCAGGGAGTCCACGCAGGGCCACTCTTCCATCCAGATGGACAGGTCCCAGGAAGAGACACCTCATCCCACAAGCTGTGGGGCAAAGAACACTGTTCCTGCAAGGAGGAGAGACCCTAGCAGTCTCACCACCACCCGCGTGCACGCCCAACCCAAGGGCAACATGTGACACTGGACGGAGGTCCGAAGCACAGCACGGTCCTCCTCTGCAAGGGGCTGGTGTCCGGACACCCACACCGCACACGCCCCACGTGGCACACTCACGCACACACTCCTCAGCACACACACAGCTCCAGACTGACCTGTTGTGTCGGCAGCAAATTCAGCGGCGAGAGCTGAGGCTGGTAGCCTTAGCTGGGTGAGTCACAGACCAAAAGTTCCGTCTACTCTGAAGTTTCTGGAAGGCGTTGAAGTTTCTCCTCTTCTCTCTCTTGAGTTTTTTCGTTTTCTTTTCCTATGTTGAGAATCACAGGTATCAGTAATTCCCAGAAAGGGCTCTCCTCTGGCCCCGGGGGCTCCTAAGTGACTGCATGATTATGATGCTCCATTCGCTACATACACCAGATTTGCCCTCCACGTGGCCTGCGGGAGGTGTCCCCATCACCCCCCTCTTCACTGCTGAGGGAACAGAAGCAACTGGGGGGATGTCTCTCTCACGGCCATGCGACATTTACAGTGGCCAGGCTGGCACTGAACCTGGGCATCTGGCTGCAGTTTCGCCCTGGACCATTTCACAACACTGCCACCACTGCAGATTGCCCAGGAAGTTCAAGTTCTCCCTGCCTCGGCCCTCAGCTGAGCTACTCTGACATGGCCTGCCATGCCATTGGCACACACCGTACCTTCCCTCGATCGAACTCTTCATCCCAGTCATCAATCACCGTGGCAGTGCGAGCCAGTCTGCTGTCCTGAATGGCGTCCTGACTGACAGCCGACACGGCGCCATCCCACGTCAAGACTATAGAGCAGACACACAAGCGTTAAGACCTTGGAGGATCCCCAGCTACCCTGTGGCTTTACTTCAAGAACGGACTTTACAAATTAGACTGGCCTACTTCTAAACTACTCAGAATTCTGAGTGCCGACTTTTGGTGGAGGTGGACGTGCAGAGAAGGAAAAGGGAGCATGACGACGGGCGAGCTGTCACGGAGACCTGTGGGTCCCGACCCGCAAAGGGTGCTGTTTTCAAGCGCACGCCCTCATTTGAGCAATGACGGCCTCCCATTCCTCCTCCAAGGCTAGATGGTGACGGTAACGCCCACAGGCACCCACGGCAAAGGGCCGCACAGGGCCTCAGTCAGGCCCCTCCCAGACCCAGAGCTCCGCATACTCTGCCTGGCCCCGGGCTGCATGTTCCGCTTCCTCCCAGACCCCAGAGGCACGTCCCTCCAGATCCCTCCAGAGACAAAACCTACCACCGGCACTGGTTCTTGACCTTTGTGCAATGGCCGACAAACATTCACATTCCTTCCCCACCTTTGAAGCTGAGAGAGCCCTGTGCCCCAGGCTCTCAACACGCCAGGCTCCCCATCAGGCAAAAACAAGCCTATCGTGGGAAGACGGAGTCCAGTGTCAAAACCAGTACCTTTTCTCCCATAAGCCTTATCCGATGAATGTTTGAGCAATTCCTGGACCACATCGGAGTCTCTCTCTCTGTCCCAGGATACATGAGGAGCCTGCCCCAGCTCTGCAATCAGACACATTTATATACATTTAAAATAAACCACTGAGGAAACGTTCACACATCTTTTTTTTAAGGATAGAACTGCAGAACTTATTAACAATAAACACTTAAATCATGTGTAAAAGCAAGCTCCTCCTTCCTGCCCCTCATCAGGGAGCCGACAATCATTACCAACAGAGGCTATTGCTCAACTCAAAAAGGTGAAAAACCTAAACCCCCAAACCAAAAACCTACACAGCCGGCAGCATGAGCCCTTGGTCTGATGGAAGAAGGGACAGAAGGAGCTCCAGGTGGAACCCGCTGCACCTACAGGGACTGGCAGAACAAAGGACACAGCCATGGGTGGGCATGGCCAAGTGCGGCCTCCTGCCCTGGAGGGGCCTGGCCACACCCAGGACGCCCAGACCGCGCTGGCGCTGGCCACCCCTTGCCTGGGCTCTACAGCACTGTCTGGACTGGTCCTGCCTAGAGGTCCAGCTGGAATGGACCCACCTCCCTGAACAGAAGGCCGGCCTCACCTCTCCCAGCCTCCGAGCCACTGACCTCATGACCTTCAGGCTCAGTGCCCCAAGCAAGATGGTGTCCACAGCACCAGCTGCCTGCCCTCATGGGCTGTCCCGCTGCCCTCTTCTCCCAGGCTCCTCAGCACAGCCTGGGCCACCCCCAACACTCCTTCTGGTCTCATGGCTGTGAATGTCCTTCTCCAGTTAGCTGGCCCTTCAGGACTAAGTGCAGGCGAACGGGGACCCTCCCCTGTGCACCAGCTGTCCCCCACAGTCAGCGCTGACCGGGCAGCCCCTGCGGTCTGATGACTGCCGCCAAGCTGCTCTATCGCCACCTTTGTGCGGCCTTCCCTCCAACAATGTCCTGGCCACCTACTCCTCAATGCCAGGCAGTAGTGTTTTGCAATGTAACTAATAAAATTCCATGTGTATTTATAAATTTATTTCTTGGGAGTCTGATAAATACCATTCGATCCAAGGAAGAGCTTGCCCGACAGCCCTAGCACAGGGATCCCCAGGCCGCAAGGCAGCCCTGCCTCCCTGCCTCCCTGCCTCTGCGTCTGCCCTTACACTTCACCAGGCGTACTCCACCGGGAGAGCCCGGCTGTGCCCAGCCAGCCCTGGAGGAAAAAAACCAAGAAAAAGCCATCTGGTGGGTAATGCCTTAGCCAGAGGGACATAAGGCCTAGGGACAGCCATAGCACAAGTAGCCCCAACAGCAAGAGGCCACGCAGTTTTCAGAAAGGCCCAGCGACTGAACAGGCAGAGGAAGGAAGGGTTTGGAACCCAACCCTCCAAGTTCAAGTGTCCCAGAAAAATTCCAGGCTGGATGGCCCACAAGTCATTCCAGCAGGTTTAGGCCAAAGAAATGCTGCTTCAGGGAACATGGAGCCTGCGTGTCCCCCCTTCCTCCCTGCAGGGTAGTTTCAGCTGAAGGCTCTGCCAGGTGAGGAAGCTGTGACCCAGCTGTCGGATAAGAGGTCCTCCCAGGACCCCGTGTCCCCCTCTCCTTGTGGATGCACACCTGCAAGGTCCACAGGACGCCTGCCACTCCCAGCCCCTGCCACCCCATGCCTCCCTCCTCATGGGCACACACCTGCACGGTCCCCTGGAAGCCCGCCGTTCACAGATGGCCGGCGCCCTCTCGCAGGGACAGCAGAGGCCCTCTGCCCCTCACCCCTCCGGCCTTTAGGGTGCCCGTTCTCCTCCACTTCCTGCTGTGACTCCTGCTTGCTCGCCCGCTTTCTCTTTTTCCTTGGCGACGCTGCGGTGACCTCTGGCTTGGTGGGGTCCGAGGGAGGGCGGTCCCTGGGAAGTCCGAGTCAGCGGTCAGCTCCAAGCAAACTGGGGGGCAAGAGCAGGGTCTCTGGCCCAGACACCAGACCTCCAACCGGCACTGCCTCAACTCCGCCGAGGAGCCACCCAAGAAACACCCCGACACGAGCAGGACAAAGCACGCATGCTATCCATGGCCACAGTCAAGCGTGTGGGGCATCAGAGAAGAGGACACACAACATTTCCCATCCCAGCCGAGGCAAGTCCTACGAACGGAATGAGGCGGCCGCAGGGCCTGGCTTGGGGTCCCGTGACCTCATCTGTGCTGGCCGGGTCTGGACACGGAGTGCCGGCTACTCAGCGTCCCGCTGGGACGCACAGCACGTGGCATTCTAGAAGGCTGGTCAACGGTTTCTAGACGATGCCCCCCTGGGATGGCCTGTGTGTGTCTGCTGGTAGTAGCAGGGCTGCCTCACTCCTGGCTCTTACCTGTGCCAAGGTGGGTCCTGGTGGAGGCGGTTTCTGCCACCTGCGCCCTCCGTTCCCTTCCTCCTCCTCTTCCTCTTGTCTGTGTGGTGGCCGTCGGTCACAAATCCTACTTGCCAGCCATTCACCAGGTGCTGGCCGTTCACCTGCTGCCGTCCACCCTTGTCCTCCGGTCTGTCCACTGGCAGTTCCACCCGGCCCTCCTTCCTGTGCTTGGGGCCCCAGAGCTGCCTCTGCGCCAGCCCCTCCGACAGCGGGGAGGCCTCTGTGACCTCCGAGTGTCTCCTCTTGCGCCTTCTCCTCTTCCGGGGAGGGGCTGCCTGGCACGTCTCTGAGCCCAGCCCCTGGATCTCTCCCGAGCGGCTCTTTTTCCTCTTCTTAAAGGGGTTCTGGGGGGGCTCCTTGGCCCCTGGAAGCTGGTGTGGAGGGGCCCTGAGGCCCCCACTGGCCTGAGGCAGGGAAGCAGAGGCGCTGGAACAACTCTGTGGGTCTGACGTCCTGAGAGGCTGGGGGCTGCTGGACAGTGACGCGGAGCAGGGACCGAGGGGCGGCTTCAGGTGGCCGGGTGATCTGGGAGCAGGTGAAAGAGCGCTGTGAGCACAGGCAGTTCTGGGACGCGGCCAAGCTCCTTCCTGCCCCCTGCAGCCCCTTCCCCTTCCAGGTCAAGAGTTTAACCGGTTTCCCCCAGTGAATCTCAGACATGTACATAAATTACAGGCAAGTTAGAAAAGACAAGCTAATGGTTACATTCAAATCTACTTAGGATCACAGTAAGAATCATTACACAGCTCTTGGTTTCTTGTCACCAAGCATTTCAAACTATTTCCGCAAACTAACATTTTTAATTTTCTCCAGAAATGTGTGTAGAGAAGAAATCTTCACTAAGCAATGAGTTTCCAAACCCCCAATCTCAAGATGTTCAAACACCGGCCGTGAGCCTTACAAGAACAGCCGATAGAGGCCTATACAACTTCCACAATGATTTTCCACTGAAATATGGGGTTCAGGAAAACCAGAGAAGGGTTTTTTCAGCTGGATTACATAGCTAAGTGAGTAAGGAACAGGACCTCGAGCGTGACACGGTAGATTCCTGCTGGCTACGAGACCCCGGAAGGCTAGCTTTCTGCTCCGAGCCGCGCTATCACATTTCTGAGTGAGTGACAGTGACTGCCTCAAGAGGGCATTGAACTAAACACGCTATCGCCACCCAAACCAGGACCATGGTGCCCAGACTGTACTGCTACACTGTACTGCTCTGTGCTTTCTGGAATTAAAGAAAAAAAGGTTATATGTCAAAAAAACAACAAAATACCCAATAAATGCCTTAAATACTTAAGGACCTACCTAGCATGTGCAAAAATATTGTACTAGGTACATGTGAGTGTGGGAGGACAGGTCGGGTCAGAGAGCCCTCTCCTGGGGCACAGCCAGGTGGAGGTGAGGGTGGGAGGCGTGGCAGTGTCCACGCAAACGCCGAGTCCGTCCCCAGAGTGCCCCTGGCCTCACCTGTCTCCCTGCCTTCCTGCCCAGCTGCCAAAGGCCGTGGTCACCCGTCAACCATCGCACAGCCACTCATCAGCAGCTCTCAGCTTTCCGCCACCCACCACATCACAGGGCACAGGCACCCCATCCCAGTGGGCCTGAAAAGCTCTGCAGAGCTGTCACAGCCCCACAGCACGGTGCCTCCTGCTCTAGAAGCCAATGCAAAGCCGAAGGCCCAGGGAGGCCCTGCAGGGGTGAGGAGAGAGACCCCAGCCCCTCGGAGATCAGCCTGGGGGAGAGCTGCTGGGAGAGGCAGAATGACGTAAGAGCAGAAGGACACCCTCGGCGAGTGTGCAGGGCTCGGCTCGCACCAAGGGTCTCTGTACAGTGCACCGGTCACCGTGGACACGGCAGACAGACGGAAAATGAAGACAAAAGTAAGACTCAGGACCGCCTCTGACTGGCTGCGCTCCATCTCCAGATGAAACTGACAGGAAGGCCTGGGCGTGGGACAGCACCCCGGGCATGTCCAGCTGCACACCACTGTCCCTCCAGCGGGGTGGTGCCCGCCAGCAACTCTTCCCCGGCCAGGCGCACGCTGAGCACAGGGGAGGGCCACCTGGCCCTGGGGGCCTGAGCCCGTGGCTTACCTGGTGGTGCTGACAGGCCAGGTGGAGACGGCGCCGGGGTGAGTGGTTTTCCTGGGGTAGGTGAGGTTGGAGAGTGGCGAGAGGGGAAGTGGACGGAGGTCATTGCCGGCTGCCCTCCACGGGGTGCTGGCCTGCAGTTATTGACATAAATAAAAACTTGGTGGTCTAAAAAAGGTTGCCGTGAGTGAAGAGGGAAAATAAAAATAAAAATAATAAAATAATAAAAAGTAAATAAAAGAGCCCAGAAAGAATGAGAGGACAGAAGGAGAAAAAAAGGGGGAAGTGAGGGGTGGGGAAATGGCAGAAGAAGAATCAGAAGTGTTTTTGGTTAGAAACAAAAAGGAAAATAGGAAGGAAATTTAAACAAAAATCTCAGCATGACAACTCCACTGTTAAGCTCTGCGCTATACACGGTGCCCGCCACGCTCAGGCCCCCACCTGCCCAGTCCCTCCTCGGGAGCCTCCGTCTCCAGGCAGAAATGGAGAACTGCTCTCTCCCCCAAACCTCATCAGCACCCGGAGAATCAGACGGTCAGAGTCCCCGCACAGCCCCTGCCTGGCCCTTTTCTAATCTGCAGGTGCCTGGGAGCACCTGCTGGGAACTGCTCCTCTGGATCGAGGGGGCCACACGCCCCCGCACAGCTCCCCCACTGTCCCCATTCTAAAATCCAGCCTGCCCTCTGATCCCTGACATGCTTCTGGAGGTGAGACTCCCGCACACCCACCTTCTTGGCAGAAAGGGCCGGTTTCTTCGCTGGTGGGGGAGACATGACGCTTGCGGGCTCAGGGGCAGCGTTATTCAGGGCAGGGGACTGGGGCCTCCCCGCCTTAGGGTCTTCATCCAGCAGCGTTCTGGAGGGGCCAGCAGCGGAAGAGGGGGTTCCCTGAGAATCCCGGAAGGGGGCAGCTCCGCCCCTGGGGACCAGGGGGGCCTCGGCAGGGCCACTGCCGGCAGAGCGCTCCGGGCTGGCATCGCTGTAGCCCGGCCTCTCGAGGTGGGCGCGCTCGTCACCCGCCTGGGGCTGCGGCCTGGCGGCGGCCGCTGCAGCTCGGAGCTTGGGTGAGGCAGAGAGGACGGCACCCCCGCCATCCCAGGAGCCCGGCCTGCAGCTCTCACGCCGGCTGCCGCTCGAGTCCCGGGGGCCACGGGACTCCGGAGAAGTTCCAAGTGTCGGGGGGGAGTGCTGTAGGGGAGCCGGTTTCCGGACTTTCTTGCCAGGCTCATCCAGAACGGTCGGCCTGTGTGGAGGTGCTTTGGAGAGTCTGGGGGACGGGGACCCCAGGGACAGCTTCGGGGGAACATATCCATTCTGAGGTTTCAGGCCCGACACGGAGCTGTTCCTGGAAACAGGCACGCCGACCTCTTCAGGGGTCTGTGGCTTTCTCGTCATCACAGGGTCTGGTCTCTAGAGGGAGCAAAGCAGAGGATGCAGTCAGAGCCCGGAGGGGGCACAGGCCAGCGAATCTCCCACAGGCCGAAGCAGAGAGCAACCGCAGAGTCTCTGCTGAGCAACTCAACACCATTATTTATATGGACACACAGTAAAGACACTGTTACCTCTTAGAACAACTTTAGTATTTTGTGGGTTGTGTACATGACGGTGTGTAGCTTTACGATCCTTATCAGGAAAGCAGTTCATTTTCATGAAGATTTGAGAAATACAAAGGGAAAAGAAATTACCAAACTTCCATCACCAAAACCTAATGAATGATCGACATACTGGTGCCTTCCCCTTTGGGTCGTTTCTTCTGACTGGCTTTGGCCTGTGGAGGAACAGCCCCCTCTCACAGGACCCTGCCACAGAGGCCTTTAAGGTGCCCTCTCCGGGAGGCTCCTTAACGCTCAACTCCAGCCGCCTTAGTGTGTCAGGACTTTGTTTCACCTCGACTTGCCTCCAGTTGTCACTGGAATTCACTGTGTCCTGAGCACCTCATCCCCACTCCATGGGACTCACTGACAGCCGCCCTGGAGGCCTGCATCTGACCACCTACCGTCATAGCCCTCCCAGCTCGCTCAGGGGCCTGATGCTTAAAAACTATTTGTTGAAGGAACCATCAAAAGGCCAAATTTTGTTCCGTACTCAGTAGTCCGTGCTACTTTTTGGAGGCTGTGAATATTTTCATGAATTCTGATGCATAGTGCCTAACTGCATGTACTGTACTCCTACGAACAACAACCATTTCTTTTTAAAAATCTGCTAGTTGGACACTACTTCCGGCTCTTACCCAGTTGGCATCCACATCCTTTGCGCTTACAGAGGAGGAGCGACGTAAGTCACAGAAGACGAGTCCTTTCCCCGGCATATATTTACATGTTTCAAATGTTTACCTTGTGTTGCATTTGTTGCAAATATTTTTAGAAGCTTTGCTTTTTTATTTCTAATATTTCATGTACAAAAATTCAAATTTTAGGCTGGCCAATTTGTAATCTGCTTTTCTGTGTCTTCTCAATTTTAAGCTTATGAAGCCTTCCCTCTTCCAGAGAATTACTAAGAATTCCTTATTTTTTCCTGAGTTTTTCCCCCTCTGTTTTTAAATATCTTATTAACACTTTTTCTAAAGGGATACATCCTTCCACTGCACTACAAAACCCTTTCACCTGTTGAGCATTTAACTATATGGAACTTAGGCAATGTTATTTAAAGTAAAATGACTTTTGCGCAGTTCAGGTGGACTTGAAAAGTTCTTTCTGTGATGAAATGTGCAATGTAAGGCAAGCGGCCTTGCAGGAGGACTGACTCAGGGGCTCCTCTCTGCCCACGGTCACCCTCAGGCACCTGCGGCTTCCAACTTCCCCGGCCTAGGCAACCGTGACAACTGCCTTTGCAATCAGGCCGTGGCTCTTCACTGGTATGCTGATTCCAGGGGCTTTTATTTCTGCTCTACTTTCTCGAATGTCAGAGGGACGTACAGTTTGCGTGAGTGACTGAATCCCCTGCAGACTGTGAAAGACCCCAGCAGCCGGTGTTTGCATTTGCATTAGCTTTTCGGACCGCAGGAAAAGGTCGCAGAAGCGGCCAACAGAGGGGGCCAATCTATTTTTGAATTATGAGCTGGAAATCACTCTTTATTTTGTTCGTAAAACTGAGTTAATATTTTTGGTAGAAAATTTCAATTACACAGAAAAATAACTTCAAGGTAATTCCTAATTGTTAGTATCTTACCACATTAGCTTCCTTGCATCTCTCTCTCCATTTACACACATGTATGCATGTGTACGTGCGCACACATATTTCTTTTTAACCATTTCAGACATGATGTCCTTTTACTCCTAAACACATCCGTGTACCTTCCTAAGAACAAGGTCGTTCTCTTAATAGAACCACAGTACAACTACCCAAATCAGGAACCTAACAATGGAACAAACTACTCACATTTTCAGCATGGAAATGTGAGGATAAATAATATCTTGTCCCCCATGCTTCAGGTCAGGAGTTGCTTGGCAAGCCTGCCCTGCATTCCTGCGTGGCAGCTGCTAAGATGGTGAGACAGCCTGGATTTGCTGGGTCAGGTGTCTCATCACCGTCCCTCCCTCCTCCTCACCCAGTGTCAGCTGGTGACCAATTTAGGGAAGAACATGGAATAAAATAGGACCAAGTGTCTCTACTGCCCTCCATTGGGCCAAGGCCTAGCATGAAGAGATTTGGGGGGCCCCACAGCCCCCCAAGAGGCACATGCATGCAGGCTGGCTACTAAAACACTGGTCCTCTTGAACCAGTACCTTTGCAGTCAGCGGGGAGGACACAGTCCGGCTGCTGACATTCTTCTTGACGTGGTCTGGAAGCACACCGGGGCGGCCAGGAAGGGAGGACCCTGACCTGGACAGGGGGCCTCCAGGAGTCTTCTTAGAGCCTGGAATTCTGTCAAAGGAAAGCAAGTTGGGGGATTTTCTTACTGAAGCTACAAAGGCATCAGAGCCTGAGCGTGAGAAGGAATCTGAAATAAGTCAAGGTGTAACCCTGTTTTTTAAAAAAAGGCAAAACACAGGCAAAAAACAGCCAGAGAGAACCCTGCTTCTCTGAAACCTCTGCCCTTAAGCCGACGTGCTGCTGTCAGGCAGCCCCGGTATCCGTATGAGCAGAGAGCAAATTATACTCAGAGTTCTTCCAAGATCAGAGTCTCACTTTTTTAGAAAGCCAGAGAGCCCGCAAGCATTTCATCCAGATTCAGGAGCACATATACGAAGTAGCAAAAACACCTCCAGTCCCCACGTCCTCCAGCCTCCAGGTTGGTGGCAGCTTTCCCAAGTAAAGGGCCTCCAAAGACGGCCCACTGCAGCCTCCCCCCGCCAGACAGCCGACTCCGCTGCCCACTGCGGCCGCTCTCCCCACAGGGAAGGTGTGTCGGCCGGCCACCGTCTGGGCACAACACATCTAATGTGGGGCAGTAATGTAAAATAATAAGGAGCTCTCCCATTTACATTCAAAGTCACCTCGTGGGGCAGATGGCATCCTGCTCTGACCTTCCCTGAGGGCCTGGCTTCTACCTGACAGCCAGGCAGACGTGGTCTGACAGCGCTTCCCACTACATGGGGCCAGTACGATAAGCGCTGCCCAAATCAACACCCCCCTCCGGTGGAATTCCCAGTTACTTTCACACAGAAAAAGGTTAGGGGGACCCAAGAGTACCAGGAAGACAGAGGCAGCGAGCGCCCCGGGGCGGCAGTTAGTTACCGCAGATAGAAGAGCACGTAGGCCTGCTGGTCCAGAACCGCCTTGATATTGCTGGAGTGGACCAACGAGTCGTTCATCTGGTACCACTGTCCACTGCTGGCCTGAAGCACCGCGGGGTGGGCAGAACACAGACCAAAACTATCAACAAACATTCCATAATAGTAACTTTTTAAGGGGAATAAAATCTGTTGTGAACTGCCACCTATATCCAAGTGGTCATTAACTAGCAACAATTTCTTATTGAAATGGTTAGTGTTTTTCTCTAAATGTGAATCCATCCAAATACATGGAAGGAAGTTCAGGAATTCCGGACAGCCCACATTCGGACGGTGCTTCGAATCCCTGCTCCTTCCTGGTGCCCTGATGTGAGCTTCTCCTTCTGAAGGCTGTTTGGCAGGTCTGATCAGCCTAGCATCTCTGACCTATATTCAGCCTTCCTGAGACTCCTCCAGGGTTCTAAGGACACAGCCCTAGAAGCAGCCTCCAGGGTCTCCTGGCAACGTCTGAATACTACCTACTAGGGTGGGTTTCAAGGACACCTCTGCACTCCACGCACCGAAGCACGAGACCCGAACACAACAGAACACGCCATTCCCCACAGAGCAAGTGTTCTGCGGAGCCCACATGCGGACCTGTGCAAACAGGCACTGCAAACCTGCCCCCAGGAGGCAGGGCACCCACTGCCACCTAACCAACCAAACCCGAACCCAGACGCCACCGACCTTCACGTAGCAGTAATAGTGCCCGGCGTGGCAGCTATAGCCCGAGTGCACCAGGACAGCGTACAGCCCATACATGACAGGGTCGCCATTACTCTGGGACATATATGGACGGATGTTGAGGAATTCCGGATAGCCTACGTCCTGTTTGAAAAGCGAAGGAAGAGGCAATTAAAATTCATCATCGAGAGTGGATCAACTGGCCCTCTCCGCCCACAGCTATACAAAACTCCCACTTCAGCAGGCCTTTTAACAATTTGGGGCAACTAGGCATGTGGCAACTGTGCCAGGAGCCTCCCCTAGCCAATGATTAAAACAACACACAGAGAAGGGAGTCTCTCTGACCGGCCGATGCGCCCCTGTCTCACGTCCCACCAGGCGGCTCACAGTCTACTCGCCTGCCTTTGCCACGCATCCCAATCAGCTCTCTCATGGCCCAGGTCCCGAGTGTCAAGTGACAGTGACCACTCACGTGCTTCCCTGCCACTCCACGGGAACACTGGAGGGAGCGTGGCAGACAATGCTGAGTTTAGGGCTTCCAAAAAGAAGGTGCTGACTCCCTACAGCTGATTGCTACCTAAGTTAAAATTTTAACGGAGTGCCAAAATATATATCAAAAATTGACATTTTTCTTAGGAAATGTTTTCAAAACTTATCTTTGAATGAAAAGAGATATACCTGCATTTCTGCCTGTATACACACACACATTTTTTTTTAAATGAAGTATAATTTACATACAGGGAAACACATATCCATTAGGTGTACAGTTCAATGAACTCTGACAAGTGTACACTGACTGTAACCCACACTCCTACAGAGCCAGAGACGCCGAGCCAGAGAACTCCCTTGTGTCCTGGCACGAGCCTCCAACTAGATGATTCCCATCACCACTGATTAGTTGTGACTGTTCTTGAGCTTCATGCAGTTATAATCATCCACTATGTACTTGTTAGTGTCTGGCTTCTTTAGATCAACATAATGTCTGTGGTATGTACCTACATGTCTTTTTCCTACTGACAAACTCAAAATCTCAAAAGCCAATCCACACAATAGCTCATGAACCCTAATTCAATCTTGCTAGATATGTGGCCCCCAAAATCAAACAGGCCAGTATTTCCCAAACTGTGTTCCAATGGAAAGCCAGTGCCAGGAGATATTAGGGTGATAACAAGAGCTCCCCAGGGCAAAATCACAATGATCTCCTTCCCCGCTATTTTTCACCGACTTCCCAAAGTCTTGTCTTGCATGGCATAATGCAATGTAAGCACGTGAGTATTAGCAAAATGAATGAACGAGTGACCCCAAACAAAGTTCTTCATAATGAAATCCCTCCTGGAGATTCAAAATGCAGCATAGTTTAACAAAGGCTCTGAGAAGGTCTGCAATTAGAAAGAAACATGTAACTCCAGCTCGACATTTCCCAAACTCAGCTGAGCAAAGAACATTTTCTTTCAAAGTACATTATTAACATTCTGCAGAACAAGTTTGGGAAATGCTGACCTAAGCAAGCCGCCCACCAATGCTAGTGAGGAAACTGAGGATCAGAGAAGGGCCTTGTCCCAAACCACATAACTAGGCTCTAATAACTGAAAATAGATCTCTAGACTTCTATGAAATAAGATTATCTTTTAAAATACCACTGTGCAAAAGAATAATTTTTATTCTCCATTCCACCATGGCATGTAATTGCACCTGTTTTACACAAAACAGGACATGACAGATCTGAGCTACATAGTTCACTGTTGAGCACAATGATTCTTACGGAGACCATGACCTTCCATACCAGGAACAGCCCAAACAGGCAAAAGTTGTGGGAAAAAAAGAAAATCTAGTAAGACAGTGGTTCTTGAACTTGACTGTGTACAACAGTTATTTAGGGATTTTGTAAAAAGGCAGACTCCTGGACTCTGTCTTTCAAAGATTCTGAGTTCACTGGCTCCAGGGTAGAGGATGGAATCCATCTTTGTAAAAAGCGGCCAAACAGACGGGGACCTTCCATGAGCACTCACCTTGGTGATCTTCCCTCCACTGACATTGGCAAAGCGCTTAAGGGACAGAGTCAGGACATTGGACGTCCTGTGGATGGTGAAGCGCTTGCTGGCTGGGACCTTTCTCTCGCACCTGTGAGGAAGGGACGGACAAAGGTGTTGGCCCGTGTGCGGAGGATTGCTGTCCTCATGCTGGGTTAACAACTGCAATAACTGCTCCACGGTAACAGGGTTTTGCTAAAGGAGACCTGGGACTTCTACCTCCCTAAATATCAAATCAACACAACTTTAGAAAAGGAAAGCTACTATGGGGAAACAAGGATGAGAGAAAGTAGATATTTTAAAACTGAAAAATATGTTCTCAACTAGGAGATGAAATAAGATGCGTGGAAAAGTAACTCTGGGATAGCAGAGGAAAGAACAATTAGAGCAGATACGGCCATGTGATAAACGGGCAAGCAGGGAGTCACTGTAAGGGACGCCCAAGGACAAGGACAGGAAGGGGAAGAAGACAGGCAAAAGTGACAGCTTCTGGGCTCTGGGAGATGAATTAAGAGAGGGATAAATAGCAGTGTTTTGGCACAGAATGATAAACCTGAAAAGCTTAATTAGGAAAAATATCTTTTAGCAAGTACACCTTTTAAATGACCTAAATATAAAGTAACACAGACCTACAGTAAGCCTGCGCAACCCTGACAAGAACGAGGTCAAAGTTCCATCTGCTGAAATGGACAAATGCCAGAACAACTCAAGTGAAAAATGGAAGTTGCAGAACACGGCCTGTCTGAGGCAGGTTGGCAATGTCAGAGGAGGGCATCTGGGGCAGACAGCCACGCATGGCCACTTCACTGCTCTGTGCCTCGTTTCCCATCCTGCGAAACAGGGGGTAACCACAGCCCCCAAGTCACCAGTGAACACAAGGGAGGCCCTCAGAACAGTGACTGGCCTGTGGCAAGTGCTACAGACATGTCAGCCCTAAAAATCTCGGCTATGGCTTCACATGCATTGTGTAGGGGTTTTAGCTTTAAGACATCTATCCTCTGCTCGGTGAGCGCAGTGGTCACCTCTGAGGGAGGGCGGGAGGGCGGGGGCAGAGGCAGACGAGGTGACTCGTGCCATATCCCTCTGGATGGCTTGGTCTTTCTGCCATGAGCGAGACGAGACTTACTTAGCACACATATAGGCGTTCTCTCCGCTCAGGACATCTGGTTTCACGAAAAGTTCCAGAGCACGCACAATATTTGCAGCTTGCTGAGAAGGACAAAATGGGGAGCAGAATAAACAGCAGAGGAAAAGGCTGATTCAAGAAATGCCAAATGTAAGGTCTTTTTCAGGCTGAGGCAGCAAACCACACAACTTTCTTGCATAAAAACTGGCCTGCTAGACTCAGAGTCTCCAAGAATGAACTAGTGGTTACCAAAGGGGAGGGGTGTGGGAGGGCGTGAGGGGACTGAGGGGTATTATGTTTAGTACACATGGTGTGGGGGATCACGGGGAGAACAGTGTACCACAGAGAAGGGACACAGTGGATCTCCGGCAGCGTGCTGCACTGATGGACAGGGACCGCACTGGGGATTGGGTGGGGACTTGATAATATGGGTGAATGCAGTAACTGAATTGTTTCTTCATGTGAAACCTTCATAAGAGTGTATATCAATCATACCTTAATAAAAAATTTAAAAAATAAAAAAATAAAAACTGGCCTGCTAGCTGTCACCTTCGGGGACTCGGAATGTGTCTCAAGGGAGCAGGGGGGAGCCAGGCTGCAACGCCAGTCCTGCCGATGAGGGTCACAGCCGTGGAGGCTGACCGAGTGCATCGGCCACGCTTACCAAGGCTGCAGCTGGGTCTGCGCTAAATCTCAGTCTAAGATGGCCTCACCCAGGCTGCAGCAACCAAGAGCTGTGACAAGATGAGGGCTGCTCTCCCACGGGCGCAAAGAGGCCACATTCCAGAATCCGTGTGCATTTGTCCCAGCTCCCTTCTCCAGCCCTGCATTTATGATGTTATCATCATGACACAAAACCACATTGTACCTCCTTTCTTAAATGAAAGGAACACACACAGGAGAAAGGCTAGAAAGAAATGCAAAAATGACAGTCTTCACTTTAAGGCACTAGCATTTTAAGTATTTTTTTCTTTATCTATTTGGATAACATGCCTTTACTGGTTTTTATTGTCTAAGGTTTTCTGCCTTCTGGTCCCCTGTCCTACTGCAAACACAGAACAGAAGAACTGTGGTCTGTACCCGAATCTCCAGAGCGACGTCCAAGTAGGGGTCATAGGTGTCTGAGACGCTCTTGCACACAGAGCACTTCACTGCAACAGATCAAAGAGGGGTTGGGGTGGGTGCAGGGGCCCCCAGAGCAGCACCCCCTGGTTTCTAGGATTGAGGGTTGGAGGTACACTCTTAGCTACCCAGCCTCTTGAGGGCCCTGGTATTTGAAGAGAGAGCTCATTGACAACCAGGGCTCTTAAGATGTTTGTCAAACCTGACACTGCCCAGTGACAGGAGGCCTGCCCTCCCCAGCTGGCCTCGGCAGGTACCAGTGCCCCCGCTGCAGGGTGGCGGCCACAACAAGGACCTAAGGGGTGTACCTCCCTCACTTACATGAGCTTTTGCTCTAAACTCCCTCCCAGGAAGAGTGTGTCCATGAGGCAAAGCGCAGGCGAGGATGCCTTTAGGAGACCAGGCCAAGGCTGCTGCATTTGCCCAGGTCTGCCCACCAGGAAAGAGCCCCAGACTGGGTATGAATTCTTAGCATTTCCTGGTTACTATTCTAATCTGCGACAAGAGGGGTAGAAAAAATGTCTCCTCTTACCACGCGATCTGAGATAGCCTCCAAAAATCTGATGGACCAAAGTGGTAGCCTGCGTTTGACGATCCAGCCTGGAGAGAAGGCCACAGCCATGAGGAGAGGCCAGGAGGCAGGAGAGGAGGCCAGCGGCCCGGCCCCACTGCCCGTCTCTCACCTCCAGCTCGGCGCACAGCCACACATCCCAGGCCCCTGCATGGGGCAGGACCCCAGCATGGCCTGGTGGTCTCTCCACACGCTGTGACGGGCACGCCCGCTCCCCCAGCAGCCTCAGGACCCCTCCCATTCCACTCTGCAGGTGATCTCATCTCCCACTCCACAGAAAGGAAAAAGCCCAAGAAATGTACCTGTGTGCTCGCCTAGTCTCAATGACAGAGTGCCCCCATCCTCCCGGAGCCCACGCACCCCTTCCTGCCCAGGCCACTCCCCTCCCTGACTAGAAAGCCAAAAACTCTTGCAATAATGCCACATCTGTCTGTAAAAGAACCAGGAGTAAGCATGACATCATACACAGTGTGAGACGCCCTATTCCCAACAGGATTCGGGCTTGTTTCGCTGACAGCCTTACCCCCGCATCCATCTAGGACAGCAGGGTCCCAGCAACCTGCTCAGGGTTGCGGGACATCAGCGAGCACGCAGCTCCTGCGTCCCCCAGAGCCAGGACACATGCATTCACTGGGGACTTCAGTGTGGCCTCCGATCCCCATCTGGGCCCCCAAGGCAGGCGTCTCAGCACCTACTATCGCATGCAGGAGCCTCTCCTCTGGTAGACGGAGGTGGGACCAAGCAGGGACGAAGACCCCGCCTCTGCATCCTTCTGACAGGACAGCAGCTGTGAGGCGTGTGGGCTTTACGGGCACGCAGGCCTTACTCCAACCTCCCAGCCCCTCACTAACAGGGATCTGAGGCCTCTGCTGCAGCTGCTACTCACCAGCCACCAAGCCCCAGATGGCCCCCGAGTCGCCCAGGAGCCCATGAGGCCGGAACAAACAGAGCCACAGCACCCGCTCTCCGCCCTGCCTCAAACTCTCCCCTAGGCAGAAAAATCAAGCCAGATCCCAGCAGGCCGTCTTCAACACTCCGCCCAGGAGAAACCGAGCCAGGGGATGCCAGGAAGCCCTGGCATGCGGCTCTGAAGCACCCTGGGCCCGGACAGGCCGCGGTCCCCAAAGGCAGGAAGGCAAGGAGGTGGGCTCCTCAGGAGGCAGGGTGTGGGGGGCAAGAGGCAGAAGGGAAGCTCAGGTCCCGAGAGCCCACAAAGGGCCAGAGGCTCCCCAGCCCTCGGCCACCACTAAGGCTCAGGGCGCTGACGGAGCGCCCCAGATGGGGCCCCATGGGTCTGCAGCTGGGCCCAAGGCAGGCAGCAGCAAACAAGGACCAGACCCCTCCCCGGAGGGGCGCAGTCTCCCGAGGGCTGGCACAGAGTGCAAAGAAGGGCAACACAAAGCTCTCAGCTGAATTTCAGAGCCTCAAATAGGTGTCGAGGCATGAAAACCATGTGAAAAACTTCAAAACTCAAAAATAACAGCAGTTAACTGAACTCAGGGAGGACACGGAAGAAAACGGCGAAACCACTTGAGAAATGAAGACTGAATTACATGGCGCCCCAGAGAGAAGAGATCCTGATAGAGGTGCAGCGAGGGCGCGCCAGGCCAGGAAGCCAGGACCGCGGAGAGAGGCGAAGGCAGGGGAGGAGGCTGAGAGGCCCGAGGGCATGGGCCGGGGAGGTGGGGACAGACGTGGGAGGGCAGCATCTGTCAAAAGCAGAAATGATGCAGCGAAGATGCAGGCGAGAGAGAGGACAGGGAGGAGGGAGGGGGCAAAGGACGCCACTAAGAACAGAGGGACCACAGCAGGGCTCAGAAGAGGGCCACAGGCATGTGCAAGAGGCCCACGTACAAGGCAGTCCTGGCACAGAAACAAAGGTCCTCCTTCAATACCAATAGAAGCTTAAAAACAGAGAAAAATCAAAGAAACAAACACTCAACATGCTTTCTGTAGTAATTATGAAATATCACACAGCAGAGTCATGACCAATGTCCAGTCCCAACCACAAATGGGAAGGGGCTGCCGGGCCTACCAACGACACAGATTTTCAATGTTGCTCATGAAGCAAGACCAGGCCTTAGGTATGCCTAAAACAGACTGCTTCAGATGACAAAGGACAAAGGAGTAGGGGCGAGAGGGAACCTCATAAAGCAGGGGCTGCACTCCCGACAGAGGGCACAGAATTCAAGCCAAAAAGCATCAGACGTAACAATGACTATGCCACCCTACAAGCTGCAAATCTCGGTGAAGATGAGGCTAGGTGAAGGTTGGCTAACCACAAGCCCTTAACACAGCCACAGGAGACGCGAAGAGACAGACACTCACCTGTAACGGGACTTAACATGCCTGCTTGGCAGAGACACAGAAGGCAGGCCCCGGACCACTTCCGCGGATCCCAGGGACACAGGAGCAAGCACCACGCGGTAACACCAGGACGCACCACCTCCCACCTCAGGGAACATACACTAATCTGCCAGCAGGTCACAAAGAAAACACCAGCAAGTTCCATGACGAACTATTCCAAGTACTGTGCTCACATGCTGAAAGTTACTGACAAGCTCAGGGAACAAAAAACCTGCACCTAAATTAAGTGGAATAATTTAGCCTTATGGAGAGCTTGTCACCCACACCATTCCTCTTTCTTCTTGTCACCTCAGACCAGTGACCTTTCCCATGGACGGGTGTCCAGCAAGCTCCAACTCTCCCCCACACGGTGCCAGGCCACATCTGGCTCACCTGATGCCCGATGCCCTCATTTCTCCCAACACCTGGCCGCTTCTGTGCCCTGTACCATGAATGGCTCTACCACCTACCCTGCTGCCCAGACCACCCACCTGAGCACCTCCCACCCCCAGCCCCAAACCCAAAACTCATCCATTCTACCTCTTACCACAGCCCTCCCCAGTTCTCCACCTCACAGTCTGGCTAATCGGCCTGGCATCATGTCAGGGTCAGTTACTCCTAAGACCTCCCAGCTGACTCGGCTCTGTGGCCCGGCCCGGGACCCACTGCCGCGCGCAGGCTGCACGGCAGGAAAGCCACCCTCTCCCGGCCTGCCTCTGCGGGCTTTGCACAGGCCCAGCCGTGCTCCTGGCCTCACCTCCCCTGCCCTGAGCCTCAGGGTCACTCCCCCCAGGAGGCTCCTCCAGTGAACACCACACTGAATTCTCCTGGGAGCAGCTCCCTGGGTCCCACTACAACACTCCCTATGTGACATTGCCAGCTGGTCACATCTTCCTCGATGACACTCTGAGCTTCTCAAGGGCCACATCTGTAACCTGGAAGTGCCCAATGCTAACACAGTGCCCGGCATGCAGGACGCGGTTGGCACAGAGCTCGGATCAGTAGCTATCAGGCCACAGCGCGTGGGAGGGGCAGACCCAGGATCTGCCTGGCGGGGAGGCTTCCATCCCTTGAGGATGAGGAAGAACACGTGGCCAAGCCAGGGGCCTCGGCACAGCACCAGGGAAACTTCAGTTTAAGGAGTGTCTCATCCACTGACGTGGAGGTTTGCCCGTTAACATGGCTGTGACTCAACTTGCCTCCCTGAAGCTCATTCCAGATCAAGGGAAGTGTGCCCAGAGTCGAGGACTCAGTCCTGCTCTAAGTCTGGGCCACAGCCATGAAATGGGGAGCATTTCAGCTTGTGCTTGTCTGAACCCACCAACCCAGGCAGAGTACAGAAACATTTCTGACAGCGACTGCTACAAAAGGGGCCACGTGGCGGATGGTCAGTTCTGTCACACGCATCTGCCTGTGTGTCAACAACTTGAAATAAAGAGTCACTGGACAGAGTGAAATACCAGCAATTATACATGCTCCTGCCTGCTTTCTTCAGGTTTTTCCATAAAGACATTACAGTTGCTACTGCCCCCAACCTCCCTATCAGGTTAACGCGGTGACTTCAGAGAGGGAAACGTCCGCGGCAATGGTGGACGGCCCTCAGAGGGATTCGCCATGGCACGCTCCCGCCCCCACACGCTGGGACAGAGCTCCATCACCACTGCCCGGTCCTGCCAGCCTGCCCTCATCTAGGAGCGTGAACCGGGAGAGGCCTTGTCCGGGAGCAGGTGCAGGCCCTTATTTGAGTTTCAGCAGGTTTGAGGACCTAGATGCGGGTATCTGCAGAGGAAAAGCCTGGGGAGATAGAGGGGCTGGCTGGCTGCCTCCGCACGGCACAGTGTCTGCCACCCCCAACGCAAAAGGGTGTCCCCGAAGCCCCGCAGGACAGGTGGGTGAAGCGAAGCCCATACTTGGCACAGCCGTTCAAGCAGGCCCTCTGCATGGCGTCGATGATGTACCGCAGGAACTCGTGCGCATCCTCCTGGTTCCCGAAGTGGAAATGCCGGGCGATCTCTACAGAGGGAAGCAGACGTCGTCACACTGGCAGCGAGGCGTTCACCCTTCTCTTCACACATCCCACCACCATTTGCCTGTGCCAATTCCTAGCTGCCCCAAGGGCCGATCATGGCAAGTGAAGAAAATAAGCGCTCTGCAGAACCTGCCCACAGCCCCACCGCCGGTCCTCGAGGCAGCTGCTTCCTCAGAAAGACCCGAGGTCTTAAACCCTGCACACTTAACAGAGTAGCATGGAGAACGTAAAATCCACCCATGAGTTGGTTTTCCAAGAGCCCGTACAGAACACAAATGGCTCACAACTGTCATAGTGCTACAACCTACACAGGTCTCAGAAACCAACTGACCTATCTCCTCTACCAAGTGAAAGGGAGATGTGTGGTGCTGGTCCCCCCCGACTGTCAGGGGGGACCTTACCACCCTCTTCTCACCCGCTCTCCATCCCCCAGCTTGATCCCATGCTCACCTGCACAACCCCTGCCTCACCACCTAGCCAAAACCTGCCTGGTCATCACCGTGGAGGTCACCACCCCATAAACCTTCCCCACCAACCTGGCCTGCACAGCCTCCAAACCACTGTTCCTAGTCGGCTCCACCATATGCGCAAAGACTCAGGACCCCTGAGACCTCCCTCCTGACTCTTCCCCACCCCCTCCCAGCACCTCCACAGCCCGGGTGCCGAGCTAGCTGAGCAGGCCCCCCGGGAAGTGGTGGGCTCTTACTTTTCAGGTCCCGGATGAAGGAGACGGGCTTGATGGCATTGCCGCTGTTGCCGAAGGCCTGGACGATGTGATTCTGCATGACGCACAGCATGCAGAAGCTCCCCTGGTGACCTGCAAGTGGGGATGAGGCAGGAATTTTAAGGCAAGAGTTTCCCAGAGAATTTATGACACTTCCACTGCAACATGCATGGAGACCGGCTGAGCCCCAGCGATCCCAGAGCCCTGATGCTGAGGGCATGGGCCGGGGAGGTGGGGACAGACGTGGGAGGGCAGCATCTGTCAAAAGCAGAAATGATGCAGCGAAGATGCAGGCGAGAGAGAGGACAGGGAGGAGGGAGGGGGCAAAGGACGCCACTAAGAACAGAGGGACCACAGCAGGGCTCAGAAGAGGGCCACAGGCATGTGCAAGAGGCCCACGTACAAGGCAGTCCTGGCACAGAAACAAAGGTCCTCCTTCAATACCAATAGAAGCTTAAAAACAGAGAAAAATCAAAGAAACAAACACTCAACATGCTTTCTGTAGTAATTATGAAATATCACACAGCAGAGTCATGACCAATGTCCAGTCCCAACCACAAATGGGAAGGGGCTGCCGGGCCTACCAACGACACAGATTTTCAATGTTGCTCATGAAGCAAGACCAGGCCTTAGGTATGCCTAAAACAGACTGCTTCAGATGACAAAGGACAAAGGAGTAGGGGCGAGAGGGAACCTCATAAAGCAGGGGCTGCACTCCCGACAGAGGGCACAGAATTCAAGCCAAAAAGCATCAGACGTAACAATGACTATGCCACCCTACAAGCTGCAAATCTCGGTGAAGATGAGGCTAGGTGAAGGTTGGCTAACCACAAGCCCTTAACACAGCCACAGGAGACGCGAAGAGACAGACACTCACCTGTAACGGGACTTAACATGCCTGCTTGGCAGAGACACAGAAGGCAGGCCCCGGACCACTTCCGCGGATCCCAGGGACACAGGAGCAAGCACCACGCGGTAACACCAGGACGCACCACCTCCCACCTCAGGGAACATACACTAATCTGCCAGCAGGTCACAAAGAAAACACCAGCAAGTTCCATGACGAACTATTCCAAGTACTGTGCTCACATGCTGAAAGTTACTGACAAGCTCAGGGAACAAAAAACCTGCACCTAAATTAAGTGGAATAATTTAGCCTTATGGAGAGCTTGTCACCCACACCATTCCTCTTTCTTCTTGTCACCTCAGACCAGTGACCTTTCCCATGGACGGGTGTCCAGCAAGCTCCAACTCTCCCCCACACGGTGCCAGGCCACATCTGGCTCACCTGATGCCCGATGCCCTCATTTCTCCCAACACCTGGCCGCTTCTGTGCCCTGTACCATGAATGGCTCTACCACCTACCCTGCTGCCCAGACCACCCACCTGAGCACCTCCCACCCCCAGCCCCAAACCCAAAACTCATCCATTCTACCTCTTACCACAGCCCTCCCCAGTTCTCCACCTCACAGTCTGGCTAATCGGCCTGGCATCATGTCAGGGTCAGTTACTCCTAAGACCTCCCAGCTGACTCGGCTCTGTGGCCCGGCCCGGGACCCACTGCCGCGCGCAGGCTGCACGGCAGGAAAGCCACCCTCTCCCGGCCTGCCTCTGCGGGCTTTGCACAGGCCCAGCCGTGCTCCTGGCCTCACCTCCCCTGCCCTGAGCCTCAGGGTCACTCCCCCCAGGAGGCTCCTCCAGTGAACACCACACTGAATTCTCCTGGGAGCAGCTCCCTGGGTCCCACTACAACACTCCCTATGTGACATTGCCAGCTGGTCACATCTTCCTCGATGACACTCTGAGCTTCTCAAGGGCCACATCTGTAACCTGGAAGTGCCCAATGCTAACACAGTGCCCGGCATGCAGGACGCGGTTGGCACAGAGCTCGGATCAGTAGCTATCAGGCCACAGCGCGTGGGAGGGGCAGACCCAGGATCTGCCTGGCGGGGAGGCTTCCATCCCTTGAGGATGAGGAAGAACACGTGGCCAAGCCAGGGGCCTCGGCACAGCACCAGGGAAACTTCAGTTTAAGGAGTGTCTCATCCACTGACGTGGAGGTTTGCCCGTTAACATGGCTGTGACTCAACTTGCCTCCCTGAAGCTCATTCCAGATCAAGGGAAGTGTGCCCAGAGTCGAGGACTCAGTCCTGCTCTAAGTCTGGGCCACAGCCATGAAATGGGGAGCATTTCAGCTTGTGCTTGTCTGAACCCACCAACCCAGGCAGAGTACAGAAACATTTCTGACAGCGACTGCTACAAAAGGGGCCACGTGGCGGATGGTCAGTTCTGTCACACGCATCTGCCTGTGTGTCAACAACTTGAAATAAAGAGTCACTGGACAGAGTGAAATACCAGCAATTATACATGCTCCTGCCTGCTTTCTTCAGGTTTTTCCATAAAGACATTACAGTTGCTACTGCCCCCAACCTCCCTATCAGGTTAACGCGGTGACTTCAGAGAGGGAAACGTCCGCGGCAATGGTGGACGGCCCTCAGAGGGATTCGCCATGGCACGCTCCCGCCCCCACACGCTGGGACAGAGCTCCATCACCACTGCCCGGTCCTGCCAGCCTGCCCTCATCTAGGAGCGTGAACCGGGAGAGGCCTTGTCCGGGAGCAGGTGCAGGCCCTTATTTGAGTTTCAGCAGGTTTGAGGACCTAGATGCGGGTATCTGCAGAGGAAAAGCCTGGGGAGATAGAGGGGCTGGCTGGCTGCCTCCGCACGGCACAGTGTCTGCCACCCCCAACGCAAAAGGGTGTCCCCGAAGCCCCGCAGGACAGGTGGGTGAAGCGAAGCCCATACTTGGCACAGCCGTTCAAGCAGGCCCTCTGCATGGCGTCGATGATGTACCGCAGGAACTCGTGCGCATCCTCCTGGTTCCCGAAGTGGAAATGCCGGGCGATCTCTACAGAGGGAAGCAGACGTCGTCACACTGGCAGCGAGGCGTTCACCCTTCTCTTCACACATCCCACCACCATTTGCCTGTGCCAATTCCTAGCTGCCCCAAGGGCCGATCATGGCAAGTGAAGAAAATAAGCGCTCTGCAGAACCTGCCCACAGCCCCACCGCCGGTCCTCGAGGCAGCTGCTTCCTCAGAAAGACCCGAGGTCTTAAACCCTGCACACTTAACAGAGTAGCATGGAGAACGTAAAATCCACCCATGAGTTGGTTTTCCAAGAGCCCGTACAGAACACAAATGGCTCACAACTGTCATAGTGCTACAACCTACACAGGTCTCAGAAACCAACTGACCTATCTCCTCTACCAAGTGAAAGGGAGATGTGTGGTGCTGGTCCCCCCCGACTGTCAGGGGGGACCTTACCACCCTCTTCTCACCCGCTCTCCATCCCCCAGCTTGATCCCATGCTCACCTGCACAACCCCTGCCTCACCACCTAGCCAAAACCTGCCTGGTCATCACCGTGGAGGTCACCACCCCATAAACCTTCCCCACCAACCTGGCCTGCACAGCCTCCAAACCACTGTTCCTAGTCGGCTCCACCATATGCGCAAAGACTCAGGACCCCTGAGACCTCCCTCCTGACTCTTCCCCACCCCCTCCCAGCACCTCCACAGCCCGGGTGCCGAGCTAGCTGAGCAGGCCCCCCGGGAAGTGGTGGGCTCTTACTTTTCAGGTCCCGGATGAAGGAGACGGGCTTGATGGCATTGCCGCTGTTGCCGAAGGCCTGGACGATGTGATTCTGCATGACGCACAGCATGCAGAAGCTCCCCTGGTGACCTGCAAGTGGGGATGAGGCAGGAATTTTAAGGCAAGAGTTTCCCAGAGAATTTATGACACTTCCACTGCAACATGCATGGAGACCGGCTGAGCCCCAGCGATCCCAGAGCCCTGATGCTGGCTCCTGACCACTAGGGAGCTGCCTTCTCTGCTGGAGGATATGCAGGAACATGACCCCGACACAAAGCTGTGTTTCTTATTTCTAACATCCCATTATCCTGGGTTAATGCTGCTGACCCTGTGCAAGACCCTTTTCATACGTTTTAGTATTATTTACTTATTAAAAGAATAGGTCTGATTTTCAAAATCAAGTTTAGAAAAATGTTTTCTCTGTGCTGCATCACATGGCCAAAGCTAGACTATCTCGGGGCTTCCTGACATCCCCTTGATGAGGGCCTCCTTTTCAAAGGCGGGACTCCCCACTCTCTGCTTCTAGGAAAGACCTCATCTCTATACATCACGGCTCAGCAACTTTCTTCTGGGAAGACCCACGTGGCAAACGCCTCTGCTTCGTGGGCCCCCGTCTTCGCCTACAGCACTGCAGCTCGGGGGTGGGGGCGCATAGCTGGTGGTACGGCCAATCATAAATCAACAGGCAGGACGTGTGCTGGAGCACAACTTTATTTGCAGAACTGGCGGCGGGCCAGACCGAGCCAACCCCTGTGCACGAAACTATTTGTTCCTCCTTCAGCATCAGGCTAGACAGTGGTATGCTTTTACACTTAAAACCATGAGATACTTTAAGCACAAAGAGAAGCCTAAGACACCAGCTGCACCCCATCGTGGGTGACTTTAAGGCAAACACCGGTGGGACAGGTGAGCCCCTGGCCACGCCCCTCTCAGCCCCATTCTCCAGTCCCGCAGAGCTAACCACCCTCCTGAATTACATCATCATGGTTCCCCGTATCTATCTGTGCCACTAACACGTTGCCCACGACCAGCGGTGCTGCAGCGGCATTTTTAAGCTTACGTCATATGAACTGGGACATGAGGCACCCGTCACCCAGCGGCCTGCTTTTTAAATCCACGCCGCCACACGCAGCTCTGGCTCCTCCCCTCTCGGTTAGAGTGCTTCACTGAACAGACCACAGTTCATGCTTACGTTCCCCGCTAACGCACACAAGCCCTTCCAGCTTTCTGTTACCACCACCGAGGCACCAATGAGCGACCCCGTCCCGGTCTCCTCGAGTGTACCTGAGCTTCTCTGCAAGATAAATTTCTGGGCTCATGGACAAGCACATCCTCAATTCTGCAGGAT